GGAGCCTTCTTTGGGCTTAACTGGGGATCAGGAGCCCTCCGTGGGCTAAACTCTGGGACTGGAGCCTTCTCTGGACTAAACTCGGGAACAGGAGCCCACTCTGGGCTGGATTCAGGGACTGGGAAGCGCTTACGAGGAGCTGGCTCTGGGGCTGGAGCCGACACTGGAGCGAGCTCTGGGGCTGGAGCCGGCACTGGAGCGAGCTCTGGGGCTGGAGCCGGCACTGGAGTGAGCTCTGGGGCTGGAGCCGACCGCCTTCCCCTCAGATTCCTCTCTAGGTTCAGGGTGAAAGGTGTGGTCGGCGGGCTTGACTGAGGAACGGCCGGCGGGCTTGACAGCGAGCTGGTTCTGGATCGGGGGATGGATGCTCTCCAGACACCGGAGGATCCCTTCCCTCCAGCTCAGTCCAGTGGTGTCTGGGAGGTCCACGGGGCGATGGTAGTTGGCCCTGATCCAGAACAGAGAGTTGAGCATCGCGTCGTCTAACGCCATACTCGCGGCGATCTTGCAGTACTCCCTAGCATACTCCACAAACGGGAGATCCTGGTGAGCTAGGCTGGCAAACCGCGCGGCAACTTCCATAGCCATGGGGAGAAGCATTTTGTTTTTTCGGTCCGGTCTTCTGTCACAGATCAAGCCGGAGACAACAGGTAAGTGAATGAAAGGCAGGTTTATTGACAGGTATGGTAAAGGCAGATAGTCTAGAGCAAAGGCAGGTGAGAATTCAACACAAAGTAAAGTCCAATAATTCTTAGCTGTGTATTGATATTTGGTTCTTTGCAGGTTTGCGGAGAATACGGGATCCAGGAGCAGAGGAGAATAATGATGGAAGATCTTCAGAAAACTAGAGGTAAGAATAAAAAGGTCAGTTGCATTCAGTGAGCCTGGTAATGTTCTGTGTAGTGAACGGTAGACCGAACGGTGCGTGACTGGAAGGAGCATGCTTATGAATGGTGACTTGATTGCAGATGACAGGTGCGGGGAATCAGAACTCAGGTGATGGTGATCGTGACTGAGAACAGGTGAGACGGGGAGGATTCTGGGACATGGAATCCAGAGTTGGTGATTGTGGTGATTCGCTGACACTCATAATATTTTTTTAAAGTGCCCCTATTATGCCTTTTCGAATGTTACCTTTCATGCAGTGTGTCATGTAGCTGTATGTGAACATAAACTATATGCAAAGTTGTGAAGCCGACAATGCACGATAAATAAAGTTATTGTCTATCAAAAAAAAAAAGTCGGCTCGCAATCGCCTAAAACGAGTCGTCAGGAATTCGAATCTTATTCTGTTACGGCTCTACGTCACGAAGTAACACATTTGCATAATGTCTGCCCACGTTCTACGTCGCCAACTTGCCCGCCCACAAACA